TTTATTCAGTAAATCTATATATTGTTTTAATGCCAGTCCCCATATTATTTAAATAATGCATTAATACCATCTTTCATAAACTATTATCCATCATATTTATTACATTTAATAAACATATATTTAAATTAAGATCTTTCATTATTTGCTTATTCAACTTATAATCTTTCATTTTTTCATTATTCAATATTTCAGTATGCTATTTTCATATCAATCTTCATCTTCTACATATCATATGTTTTAATATAAATAAAGTATTTGTTAATCATATTTATTACATTTAACAAGCCTACTGACATTCATTTTGAATTATAATTTGATAATACCATCCTTCAAATTCTAATTTCTCCTTATTGCTTCTCCTTATTACGCATAAATATGTATTTTATTAATCCCTCTTTTTCTAAATCCCCTCCCTCTGATTTTTTTTGTTCTATTTTGTTATGCCACTGCTATATTAAACATATTCGCTATTCTAACCATCATCTCTTATTCATCTTAAGGCTTTGATTATTATTTTCTTAGCTTGTCTCCCATATTCCACTCTTGAATCTTTATTTCTATCTTTTTCCTCATCTTGCCGACTCATTTTAAACTTTCCTCCTTTTTCTATCCATTTCCACTGTCTCGTTTCCAAAATATCTACTCTTGCCTTTATTTTTATCCCATAAAAATCTTCCTGTTTTCCCAGATTCTTTTTTAATTTCCTTAGAGCACTCTCCCCTTGGCTTATGTCACCAATCCCTATTTTTTTATTATTATTCCCCTCCCCCCCCCGTTCCATTTGTTTTGTCTGTCTCCTTTTTCCGTCTCCTCTTCCAGTTAGCTCCTCCTCTTCCCGTGCATCTTGAACACGCACTGTCTCTTGCATTATATTTCCCAGCGCTCCTCCTCTCCACTCCATTTTTTCCATGATATTCTGGTAGTGTCTTGTCAGTGTCTCCTTTGTATTTTGAAATATCAATGCCACCTCTTCTCAAGTTCCAGTTCCTTCTTCTTGATGAAGCATCTTGTTGAATTTTATTGAATCTTCTTTTTTGTCCAATAATCCAAAGACCACAAGTTTGAGCTTACAAACACTTCTCAAAATGCTCAATGTTCTAAAGTGATATTCTTTAATAAAATTCAATATTAAACAGTTTTTTCAATTTTCCACGTTGTAAAGATAGTTAATTTTTGAATAAATAATTCCAGCATTTCAAAATG